GAACAGTGAAATGCAGCCTGCTCTGGGTTGGGCACAGCAGCTGTTTAACAGCACAGGTTAATGTTGTCCTGCCGTGTTGAGTCCCCATATCTTACACCGTGAGCTCGTCGGGTGGAGACTGGCTCTCACGCCATGTGTGGGAAGCCCCCAGTGTATTTTCAATGCTACCCCCAGTTACGGTGTGACAGTGGGGCCCAGTGGCTAGAGCACGGCAGTGGGACAGAGCCCCCGGTTCTACTCCTAGATCTGTCATGGACCCACCATAAAATAGCGGGTCAGTCACTGCTCCTCTGTTACTCCGTTTTCTCTCCCTCCTATTGTCTATTTTAACTGTAATTTCTATGGGGCAGGGACTGTCTCTGGATCTGTCTGGGCAGCACCTGGCACAATGGGGCCCTGATCTCAGCTGGGGCCCCTCCCATAAGAAACTCTCACCATTTAATCTCCTTTCAGTGATTTAGAGATGCAAAGAATCATTCTCCCCAAATCTGGCTTTTTGCCCCAAAACAAAGAAAAGTGGCTCTTACCTGGGCTCTGGGCCTGAGTTAACGGCTGACACTAACGGGAGAGCAGGGAGGTTGGGGGCAGGTAACGAGGAATCAGATTCATCTACATCTGTGGCAATAGCCCCAGGCGCCGTGAGTGGCTGGTGGCTCAGGGGAGGAAAGGGAACCGTGACAGTGTGTTCCTGGCCTTTAAAGGCAACGTACTTGCTGGTTTGTAGCAATAAGGTCTAGTGGTTACAGTGATTGAGAATCAGGACTTCTGGTTTTTATCCCCAGCTGGAGGAGGGGCGTGGGGTCTAGTGGTTAGAGCAGGGGGCTGAGCGTCAGGACTCTGGGGTTCTGGCTCCAAGCACCATTCCTCCCATAGGAGCCTTTCACTTTGTTGTCTGTCTGCGGCAGAGAAACTTCCCCTTTCTCTGGACATTGCGAAAGCTCAGCCCCAGCGCTGGTTACACGAGGTGCGTGTGGTGGTGCCTGTTCCTTTTAACCCCATCCATCCCCAGATACTCCCCAGCCACAGGCCAAATGGGGCTGCTGGGTCAGAGTTCGAAGGACCACGACCCCCGTGCTCTGAGAGACCCTGGGGAAGGGATGAGGCTTGGTCCTGTTCTAGCGCCGGCCAGCTGGGATCTCAAAGCACCTGAGGAGCCGCTCAGCCCTCGGAGTGAGAGGAGGGTCCCCATCCCCCATGGGCAAAGGGGCAGAACCAAGAATAGAACCCAGGAGTCCTGACTCCCAGCCCCACTGCTCCAACCCACTAGACCCCACTCCCCTCCACTCGCTGGGGATAGAACCCAGGAGTCCTGACTCCCAGCCACTGTGACGGGTTCCCTGGGGTACAACCTGGAACTGGGGCACCGCTGAGCCCTCTGGCTAACCAACCTGGGCTCCCTCTCACACTGTGATGCTGAGTAAGGACTGAGCCTGGGGAGGGCTCCAGGAAGATAGTGTCTCCAGGGAGGAAGCCCTGGGGATACGGCCCCATACCAGGGGTGGACAACTTGTCCAAGGGGACATGAGATTGTATAAAAGATCCTTGGGTCCTGATTCTGTCCTCTCAGATCTGCTTAAGCCTCTTCAGGGGAAGCTGGAGTCGCAAGATTGAGGTCCCATTTATGCTGGTATGGCCTGAATGTGAGATTTGGTTTTTGGATCAAAACCGCTCCCTTGTTGTAACTGTAGTGCCCTTGTGACCCAGATGGATACAACAAAGGGAGATATTTATTTACCGAGTGATGAGAGGAGAAAAACAACAAGGGGAAATAGGGGGAGCAGTAGAACAGGGCTGCATCCAAGCCAAGGCCCCACAGGCCCAGTGGTAGCACAGGCTGGAAGGGCAGACACCGAGCAATGTGTCTGCACACAGAGTTCAGGGGCCCTGAGCAAAGTTCCAGTCCAGTGCTGAGTCTTGGGTGCTCCTGGTCGTCTTCGGCGCCAGTGAACTTTCCCCAACAAACCCCTCCGGTGCCCTCTTCTGCCGCTCTCTGCAAAGCCACAGAGCGACCCCCTCCCCACTTAACTAGCTACAGCCTCCCTCCTTGTCCCCAATGCAGAGTCACTAGCCCCAGTTCTCACAGCCCCACGCAGCTCTGGGCAGCCGTGATACTGGGTCCAGCTCCGGCCTGTCCTTCTCGGGCGATTCCTCCCTGGCACCATGCTCCTCCTGGCTCCTGTCCTGGGCTGTCCCCGATCGGCCCTGTCCTTCCCAGGCTCCAGGCAGGCTCTTTGCTGCTTCACTTTGTGAGGGGCTGCGGGTTGCAGCCCTTCTC